CTCATAGTTCTAGCCGACCTGTGACAATGAGACTGTCACAGGTCGGCTCAGTAGATCGGGAGGTGAGCGAACACATACCGGCGTTCGCTCACCTCTCGATCCTGTCACGGCTCTCTGCCGTGACAGGGGGAGGGGCTGGATTCCCCCCTCACCGCTCCGATCTGGCGGAACGGATGGGGGAGGGGGGCGGGTACAGCTGGCTCTGCCTCTAGATAGGCGGAGCCAGCTGTCACTCACGCAGCTGGGCGGATCCCGTCATCTAAATCGGGATCCGTCCCGGCTGCGGCGTCTCGGTATACCGCGAGCTGTAGCTCCCTATATACTGAGCCTAGGGTGACGGGAGGACGCTAGTTTGTGTCCCCCCGTCACCCCAAGGAGAACTATGGGGGAAAAGCTTTAACCCCCCATAGTTCTCCTTTAAGATCAGTGGTCTCAAAGTAGCGGCCCGCTGGCCAATTGCGGCCCGTGAGCCGATACTTTGTGGCCCGCAGCCAGCTCACAAGTCAGGTACGTGGTCACGGACGGTGTACCTGACTTGTAGGAGCAGCTACACGGTCTGCATCTGTGTCGGATGAAGACCGTGGAGGCTGCTCCTCTGTGCCGGCACCCGGATCCTTACGGCCAGACCTTGCCAATCAATAACGGATCGCGCCGCCTCCTCCCTGCAAAAAGGTACGCAGGAGAGGGGGCTCTCTATGTTACTTCATATGTGGGGGCGTGCGGGGTGGGGGGCAGAAACTGGGATTGTTTTTTTATATGGGGGGAGGAGTGTATTATTATATTTCTGCAGAGGTAGTATTTTTTTTATGTGTATGGTGAGGGGAGCGTATTAGGCTCCATTCACACCTGTATCTTTACATGCGATTAGGGATTTCTGCGTCAGGAACTTGCGTTTTCCTGCAGCAGGAATCCCTAATCTGGTGTTTACAAGCGGCGGCCGATGTCACCCATTCGAGGTTATGATCAGGTGACAGCAGCCGCATGTAAACGCCTGCACACCGCATGTAATGATACGTGATAGGATTACATGCGGTTAGGAATCCATCACTCTCCCTGGACGTATCGAGTTGTGCGTCCAGGGAAGAGTGTTTTCTAACCGCATGTAATCCTATCACGTATCGTTACATGCGGTGGGCGGGCGTTTACATGCGGCTGCTGTCACCTGGTCATAACCTCGAATGGGTGACAGCGGCCGCCGCTTGTAAACACCAGATTAGGGATTCCTGCTGCAGGAAAACGCAAGTTCCTGACGCAGAAATCCCTAATCACACCTAAACCTACAGATATGAATGGGGCCGTATTGTGTGTATCGGGCCCCGTAGTACCAAACCGGATATAATTACATTTTTTTTAAAGTCTGAAAATTGGCGAGCGGCCCCCATGGGGGGAAAAAAATTGTCGAGTGGCCCCTGAGGGAATTGAGTTTGAGACCCCTGCTCAAGGTTGTATTGTCCACAGAGGCGACCCGAGGCCGGGTGTCACCCGGAGCGGTTACCGGGTGTCACCCCGCCGAGACGTCACCGCGCATTCGCGGCGATCTTCTGATACCTGCCGGCGGCCATCTTGGTGATGGACGGCGGCAGAGAGAGGAGGGGACAGTCACCCGGGTCCCCTCCTGTCTCCTGATACTGTCGGGCGTTCGGTCCATGACTGACTTTTCAGAAGGGGGTGACACCAGAATGACTGCCAGTCACTTTGGTGTCACCCCTCCAATGGTGTCACCCGGGTGCGGGTCGAACCCCCTTGTGACGCCACTGGTTGTCCATATGAAGTATGCAGATGACTTCTATTAGGCCATCTTTGTCCTCTGATCACCGGGGGGAGGTACGAGATGGGGAAAGCATTGGTAGCTGGACGGAGCAACATGTTCTCACCTTCCCTTCACTCCCCCAGCACTCTGTTCAGCCCCCCGGGGCCTGAGGAGAGGCCGCTCTGTGGAGGCCACACAGGGCAGAGGACTCTCCTCCACAGGACAGTGTTGTGTTGGTGGTCCCCAGACTGCCGCGTCAGTGTCTCACTCTGAGGATGAAGATGACGGTCACGGACTTTGTGCCAGATACGTCAGCAATGGCAGCTCCCACATGTCTCTCCTTGCAGGGGTCTTCTATGGACTTGGTTTGCTCTATTTGTGCCAATCACACAACACTGGCGGAGTCAGATGCACGGCATTAGCAATGGTAAAACTTTATTGATCCAGACAACACACACAGAAGGTCCGCCCAGACCCTCCTCACGCTGATGCGTTTTGCCCAGCATTGTAGAGGTCCTTCAAGTAAACCGTTGATGGGTGAAATGCATCGGTATTAGGAGGGTCTGGGCGGACCTTCTGTGTGTGTTGTCTGGAACAATAAAGTTTTACAATTGCTGATGCCATCGGACACCTGGCTTTCTCGTTGGAACGAGCATGAGCTCCATATGGCAGGTACTGGTCTCCGCGGATGAGGGCGGAACGCGGACCTGGATCGTTGACTTCCTCCTTTCAGTGCGTTTTGGGCCTTGAAGTGCACACAGACTGATCTTCCCGTAAGGGAGGCCTCAGCAGTGTCTGTTGGGTTAACGCATGGCAACGCACAATCCGCAGTGCATCGCGGCGCCCTTCCTTTCAATGTCACCCCGACGCACCTTTCCAGACACCCGACACGTAGATAGGACCCCTCTGCACATTGGGGGGGGGGGGCACTTCCCCTCCCGGGGATTTGGGTCATCCATTC